CTCCATCTCTTATTCTGATTGCCTGACACAGTTGTATTTTTTTATCATGTTTGGGACAGTAGATGAGTTTCTCCTGGCCACAATGGCATATGATCGCTATGTGGCCATCTGTCACCCTCTCAATTACACAATAGTGATGAGTCCTCAGTGTTGTTTCCTGTTGATTTCCCTTACATGGGTTGTTAATGCTCTTCATTCCCTCTTACATACACTATTGATGAATGAACTAGTCTTCTGCACCAAAAATGAAATTCCCCATTTTTCTGTGACCTTAACCCCCTGCTGAAGCTGTCCTGTTCAGACACCTTCATTAACGAGCTAATGATCCTCACCATCGGTGGTCTTGCTGGTCTGACTCCATTTTTCTGCATCATCATTTCTTATGTGTATATAGTCTTGGCCATACTAAGGATCCCATCTGCTGAAGGGAAGCAGAAAGCCTTTTCCACCTGCAGCTCCCACCTTTCTGTAGTATCTCTCTTCTTTGGGACTGTCTTTGGAGTCTATTTTAGCCCTTCATCCCACCATTCGGCCCACAGTGAAATAATTGCATCTGTAATGTACACAGTGGTGACCCCAATGATGAACCCTTTTATCTACACCCTGAGGAACAGGGATATGAAAGCAGCCCTGAGGAGGCTCTTTTAAGTCCCCTTCTTGAGGACTAAGATATCTAAAATAAATCCTAAAATTATGTTTCTCTTTCTCTGTTCCCCAAACTGAGTAGCAGGAGGGTGCAACTTCAAAGATTTTTCCCACCAGGGAAGTGCTTTAATTCATTCAGTTCTCAATCAAATACCTTAAGCTCATTCTCAGGCTTTGTCTACTGTGTTGACAAGTTTGAATCAGGACAAACTCACCAATAATATAATTCTATTGTTGAAAATTCAAAATAATAGAATTTTAAAATTAATGAATAAAGCTTAGAGAATTTTAGTTATAGAGAAACAGATATTATAAAGATACAGATAAATTCCACTTTATTTCCCTTTCTCCATATAGTCTGGTCATCAGATTGGAGAATTTTGATCATCTGATTATAGAATGACATCTGGTCCCCCATTTCCCTATTATTACACTTTTGTTTACTTACTACTTTAGATATATTCAAATGTATGCCAAAACTCATCACCTTCAGCTAACCCCTTACTCAGCTTCACATGCTATGATAGAGAGATCTCTCCAAGAGTCTGAAGACTTAGTTCTTGTCTTGGTTTCATGGCTAGCTTAGCTACAAGCAAGTCTCTGAGCCTCAGTTTCCTATTCTGTATAATGAAGGAGTTGCACTAAATAAATTACGGTCATGTATATCATTAACTAGAGGTAACTTTCCAGAATGAAGGAGAGTGTGTGTTAAGACTGTAATACCACTCTGCAGGTTATCTCTGACATGCAAATAATTATCTTGATAGATGATCTGATGAGCCACTAGTAGTGGTAGGTCTATTTATGAGAGTAAGGAAGGATTGGAACACTACCACCTAAACCTAATGAGATTCAGTAAAAACAAATAGAGGAGCTAAGAAATATTACTTAGAGCTACTATCATAGTCCAATAAAAACAAAGTGCCCATGAATATAGGCTTTTTGAGGGGAGGTTCTGGTCTGGCTTTATTAGAAGTAAGGAGCTTAAGAATGGAATAAGGATGCAATGGCAGGAGAAGTGGACTGGAGAAGGTTTAAATGGGGCTAACTCTAAGCAGGGGGAGTGTAGGGGGATCCTTCAATGCTAAGGCAGGGGAGGAGAGGAATAGGGGAAACATGGAAGGGAGAAGAGGCAGGATGGGGTTGGACTCAAAGGGGAGGGGAATCAGGCAGAAAGCTAGCAGGAGACGGCTCAGAAAGGAGCTTCCTGGGAACTTCAAGCAGCCATCAAGGCCCATTTCAGTTGCTCATAGGTGACAAACATCCTACATTCCAGAAGCCCAAGTGGAGGAAGCAAGGCATGAACCCTTTGTAGAAGGCTTGGGTTCCCTCCTTCCAAAACATGGTGAGGGTGCAGTGGCCAGCACTAGCATACTGGCCTGTGGCAGAGTTCATGTATCTCATCTTGACTACATCCATGGAAGCAATGATGGTGGTGTAGAAGCCAGTCCCAAAGGCTGATGTGAAGTGGCATGGAAGGTCATCAGTCATGAGGTGGGCCTTCAGGAGGGCATCTTTGATGAGATCATAGGTCACCAGCTCAGCACAGTTGACAATAGCATTGTGGGCAATGTTGGGTGTAGTTCCTTTCCATTGGCCCTGAAGCCCCTCCTCT